GGCCACCCCGTTACCGCAGATCCACCTTCACAATTTTTCAGTTAAGACACCTATAGACTACTCAGACCTAAGCATGCGCTGAAAGACGTGATTGTGGATAGATGGGCCAAACACCTGAACGTGGATCGTAGCCTCCGCACACCTATCCCATGGTTCCAAGAGCGCAAAAACAGACCGGCCAAAAATCACTTCTCTTCAACGGCAAATCACGCACCGGTTCCTGCCAACACTAGACTGGCTAGTGGACCATACTAACTTGGAACTGAAAGGCCTGGCCTTGCCCTGGTGCCCAATGGCATGATGCCTGCAGGCCTACCCCCCCCCAGAGACGAGCTGAGACTATTGAACATATCTTCATGCAATGCCCGACGGCCCGTTTTACTTGGCGTTGGTGGGACAGAATCTGGAGGAAAATGGTGGCGGACCTACCGTGGCCCTGGACCTGGAGGGCCATCCTTATAGGTTATTGGCCGCAAACCCAAGAAATGTCCCCTTATGCGGACAACATGTATAGACTAGGCCGTAGAGCGGTCATCTGGGGACTGTGGTGGCAGCGATGTCTGCTGGTCTTGGAAGGGGTACAGGCAGAGGGACCAGAACTGATCGAACAGGTCCAACAGCAGGTGTAGACGGAAATAATGCGAAGATGGCAGACAGTGAAAATCACAGTGTGATCTCTTCCAAAGGAATAAGGACGTTGACCGGGCTGTCTCCTCCTTCTGCACGGAATGGCTGGGTGGGACGAGAGAGGGATGGTTAGCAAAGGTAGAATGGAGTGGGCGCAGGGGACAGATGGTGGAATGCCGGGACCATAGCTTGGTGTTCAAAGACTGGACGACAATAGAACCAACCTTTCCGTTACGCTCCCCAGCTGATTTCTCTGATCCCTTCCTGCCTCACCCACTAGCCCTCGCTGAGTCAGTATGAGACTGAAGGTTATGAACGAGATCTGATTTTGCAAGGGTGAAAACTGGATTTCCCACTGACTGTCATATTTCCCAGATGTGATTCTCCACAGTCCTCTGCAGTTCTCTTCAGACGCACCATCTGCAGGGAGCCCTCTTTCACCCAGTGCCCCTCCGGGGAAAGGGGCAGCCTAGCAGATCCCCACCCCCAAGATCAGGACAAGGAGATAGAGAAGGCTTCATCAGATCAAGCACCTCAGGACGATCTTTGGAGCTCTCTTGTCTTCTCATAATTTTCATAATTCCCATGTTTGTAGTATGCTGTTCTGATGGGTTGAGGCAGGAGACACTTTGCTGTCCCGAAGTATTTGACTATACTTAGCAGCTGCGCAGTTAACCCCCCAAAGTCGTTGGGGCAGTCAATGCTGGCAGCCAAGGTCTTACTTACTTCCTAATTTTCTCTAAATTGTTCAATTGGGACGCTGGACCCGCTTTCCAGCAGGTGAGGCTCCCCACCAATAGATTGGAGCTTTAAAAAAA